CAAAGAAGATATTGGTGACACAGATGGTGGCTTTACCCACTACACCACTGTAAAGCTCTATTTAGATGATTCCCTTGATCGCATTAGCTCTCCTTATTGTGTAAATAAAACCCAAGGTCTTTGGCATGATGATCACAACTCTGGCATGGCTGGCTAGCTCTTCTTGCCTTCTCTCAGCACCATTATTTTTGTCTAAACAGGAAGGTCACTGCCACATGATGTAGTGGGTTTCTCTCCACGGGAGGCCTCGAAATGAGATGCAGAAACCAACTTGATCTGGGAAGTTAAACATGGAACTGCTCCATGACACTTACAGTCAATTCTGGCTCCGTCAATTACATCAGGCTAAGGGTCAAGCGCTCTTTGCTTTCCCCAGGCACAAAAAGCTCATAAGGAAGAGAGTGTTCCTTATACCTTCCATTTGGCATCAGAGTTTGTTTAAGTGCCACACGCAGAGCCAAGATTCAAGTGGAAGGCAAGAAGACAGGCGACCTGAGCGTCTGTAACCCAGTGATCTCTGATAGCTTAATAATTTTCTCCCGAGAATAAGAGAGAGAGAGAGAGGGGGGAAGGGAGAGAAAGCATAGTAAGGTATAATGCTGCATACATAGAATATTAATGAGATGTTCCATCAACTACTTGTAAGAGAATGCTCCTTTAAGTAGATGTACCAGCTCAAAGAGTACACACTTTAAAACCCTCAGCACCAATAAAATGAAGGCGCTGCAAGGAAAAAGAAACACGTACCTCCAGTACTTTTGAAAGTACTAAAGGTTCAGAGACGTAGCAGTTTTATTCATATTCCATCTCCTAAAAATATAACACATTTGACACATCCTTACCACTACCCAAATAGAAGAAAAGCTGCTTTGCAAGCCTGAAAAACTTTTTTCTTTTCTCCTACTACAGTACTATTTAAAAACCTAGCATTTTTTTAATGATTTTTAAAATTTTTATTGGAAAGGCAGATACACAGAGAGGAGGAGAGACAGAGAGGACGATCTTACGTTGGATGATTCACTCCCCTAGCGGCCGCAATGGCCAAAGCTACACCAATCTGAAGCCATGAGCCACGAGCCTCTTCCGGGTCTCCCACAGGAGTGCAGGGTCCCAAGGCTTTGGACCATCCTTAACTGCTTTCCCAGGCCACAAGCAGGAAGCTGGATGGGAAGCAGGGCTGCCGGGATTAGAACCGGCATCCATATGGGATTCCGGTGCGTGCAAGGCAAGTACTTTAGCTGCTAGTCTACCGCTCCAGGCCCCAAACCTAGCATTTCATATTTAAGAATCATTTTAAATCCTTTTAGAGCTTAAGTATTAATTAAGCCATTTTTAAATTCTTCACTGTGGAAATTTCCACATGAGGCCATTGCATGTGGCCATCACTTCTTCAGCAATCAGAAAACCAATGAATAGCAGTAAGTTTCCCCAAGGCCAGGATTGGGGTCAAAGCCAAGAACACACTTGAAATTCTTGGCCCTCAATCAATCATGGGTTCAGACTTTCTCAGGGTAAGCAAAGTACCAGTGCACTAAGATGGGGAGAAACAATTCCCACTGCCTCTTACAGATCAATATTCCACCAAGCTGAAGGGCGCAGGGGCGTGCAAACCTTCTCCCGTTACTCTTCTAAGGTCTCATATAGACATAACTTGCCACATCAAACATTTCAGTCCTGCTAAAACATGACAGGGAAAAAATGTGGTGTGAAGGAAAAAAAAATTCTAAGTTGCAGGCCATGTTAAAAAGTATTGTTAAGGCTAAACCGTTCTCATCTGTAGCAACCACTGTTATCGGTGATGGGAAATCGTACACTAACAGAGCACGCTGCACACATCAGCTGGTAACTATGGCGGGTGGTAAACTCCCCTCTCCTTCCCTAACAAAAGCAGCAGGCTGACACAGGATGCAAAACTTCTTCTAGAACTTCTTAGCTGTTTTAAAGTAGTGCCAGATCTTAAACCTAGTTGCCTAGTTCCATGTCTCCATGCCTTCACTCTTCTCCCAAGAGCTCAAATTAATGTAACTTTGGCTCCGTGGCCTTCTCTGTCTTCTCCCAGCTTCTCTCTTCTCATCCTCCCTGCAAAGCTGTGTCTCCTCACTTCCTCTCTTTAACCACCTCCAGGACTTTGTCATCTATGCCTCACACTGGGCAATCTAAGTATACCTAAGAATAAGTCAAGAGTTGCTTCACAGAGAAAAATGGAAGTAGAATTCTGAAGTGGGTCATATTAAGACATCATATGTACAATTGTATACAATGCCTCTGCATCTATTTGGTTCTTGGGTTCCTGCATTTGGCATCATGAACAGCAAGGTCTGGACTGTACAGATGTTGTCCCTCCAGGCAGCACTAGTCAAACTCCACTCAAGCCTACTTGGTCCAGGCTTTTCTTTGCTTTGGAAAGCCATGAAATAATGGAATTTCAATTAAACACTGAATTCTACAAGTAACATCCAAATCTTCAGAGAAGGCTGGCATCTAAAAAAAGTGTATGTTCTCTATAATGTTTCTCTCTAGGAAATAAAAAGACCATGTGGCATAGTCATTCTCCATCCTCCTCAACCAGAGTGAAACTTCTGTATTTATGACATACTGAAGTCTCAGCAATCTTTGGGGGCAAAACCACAGAGACCTTCCTAAGTGAAATAGAATTCAATAATCTATTGATAAGGATGTTGATTATAAAACAGTATGTCTTCGCTGAAATAAGTGTAAATTGAAATGTAATTTCAATTGTGACAGGTGACACGAGGTGGCATTTTATCATCCTGAATTTGGTAGACATGTGCTTTCTGGTTAATGGGTAAGAACCCATCTAAAGTGGAGATGGCGGGGCCAGTGCTATTGTGTAGTGGGTTAAGGCATTGCAAGTAATACTGGCATCCCATATTCGAGTCCAGTGCTTTACTTCCAATCCAGCTCCCTGATAATGAGGCAGTGCAAAAGAGCCCAAGTACTTGGGCCTCTGCCACCCATGTGGCAGACCAGGATGGTCTGCCTGGCACTTGCCTTTATCCTGGCCCATCTCTGACTGTTGTGATCATTTGGGAATGAACCAGCATTTGGAAGATTGTTTCTCTCTCTCTCTCTCTCTCTCTCTCTCTCTCTCTCTCTCTCTTCCTTAATCCCTCCCCCTTTTCTCTCTTTAACTGTTGCTTTGCACTTCTAATAATCAAACTTTTGCTAAAATGCAGAGTAGTGATGGTTATAAGGATGTGTAAATCAACAATGCCCAAGCCTCAGTGTGAAACACCAGAATCCTAACCTCAATCAGAAGACAAAGGTTCTAGTCTTTTCTGCCTTCGACCCTGGAACTGTAATACCTCCAGGTGTTAGTTTTCTTCAACCCTAAAATTAGGTAATGGGGGCTGGCACTGTGGTGCACCTGGTAAAGCCTCCATCCTACATGGGTGCCGATTTGAGTTCCTGGTGCTCCACTTCCTGTTCAGCACCCAGCTAATGTGCCTGTGAAAGCAGTGGTAAATGGCCCAAATGCCAGGCCCATGAACTCACATGGTAGGTCCAGAAGAAGCTCCAGATTCCTGGTTCTGGTCTAGCCCAGGTCCAGCCGTTGTGATCATTTAGGGAATAAATTAGTACACAAAAGCCTCATCTCTCACTTTCTTTTCCTCTCTATTTAGTGAGAGTAACTCTGACTGTCACTAAATAAATGAATCCTTTTTTGAAAAGGAGGCAATAACTTTCATGGCACTTAAAATTCATCTCAGCTTTGATTCTTTGTGCTTCAAAAACTTTAACCTTCTTCCTCCTTTCAAGCTTTAAAAGTAATTATAAAATAAATGAATACTGATATGTTTTTAAAAATATAAACATAGAAAAGCTAGTTATACCTCCACATAATCTTATTACCCAGAAATAGCTGTTTCCTTATGAAGGAAACAGACATGGTACAACATGGTGTTTTAAAGCACCCTTAAGGGTCGGTGTTGGGCACTGTGGATGAGTTGCCCCTTGGAACACCTGCACCCCAGATTGGAGTGCCCAGTTGAGCCCCAGCTATTTCACTTCTGGCCAAGCTTTCTGGAAATGCACACCCTGGGAGGCAACCGGAGATGGCTTGAGTACTTAGATCCCTGCTACCCAAAACAGAGATCCAGGTGGGGGTCTAGGCTTGTGGGCTTCAGTCGGGCCCAGCCCTGGTTGCTGCAGGAATCTGCAGGATGAACAAGCTCAAGGAAGATCTGTGTCTAAAGTGAACGCAAACACACAAGCGCGCAAATAACTTTTTACAACTTGCCTTCATTTAACCTATTTGCCATTTTCTCTTATAGCATTAAATGCTCTTGTGCAATATCCATTTAACAATGGCAGCAGTTTCGGATTCACTCAGGGGCATCCCACAAACGCTGTCTGCTATTTCTGATACAGCACTGAGCACTGTGGCAATTCCATGAGGGTGACAGGGCCGCCACCGGCAGTAACAGGCAGAGTCGCTGCTATCTGAAATGCTCAGGTTGTGTTTTAGATTCCAGAGTCATTTGGAAACACCAGCATATCTTACTGGTTGTACAATCCTAATCCAAAAAAAAAGAAAAATCTGCAATCCAAAATGTTCAGAAATCTGAAATTTTTTTTGGAGCACCAACAAAATGCACAAGAGGCTTCAGATGTTACATTCTGGATTTCAGCTATTTCCTGACTTGGATTATTCCACCTGTCTTTGCTATTTTCCTCCAGAGCCAAAAATACCATGTCTCCAAAATCACTTTGCCGGCTACTAGGATGGAGTGTGCCATCCTGCACTTACCTTCACTGCCTAGTTAGGCTATTTCTACTATGCTAACACATTTCAATGAAGATCTGTGCAACTTTCCTCATCTTCATACATCAAGGAGATGAAACCTTGACAGCTTCTCCTCCTTAGTCATCAGGGATGTTACCCTGTAAAGTCTTTCAATATATGGAATTATACTAAATACTGAAATTTGACATAAAAAAGGAAGGCTGAACCTCAACGAGGAAACCTGGTTACTCACCTGCATCTTTGATCCAGTTATCATAAAGACGCACCGTCCTTGATGTAAGATCGCTGAAGGCCATTTTCCACACGATGTACCAGCCCTTTTAACGATTCCTCTATAAAACAAAGGCAGGAGTGAGTTTATGATCTACAAATGCAAATAAGCCAAGCTTTTAGTATACAATATTTAAAATGCTAAAAAATTTAATAGGAGTAACTGGCAAAACAACAAACTTGCACTGAGGAGAAATGCATTAGCTGGCCATATGAAACCCTGATGCAAATGTTTCAGATTTTCCATCCTAAAGACATTGCTCAGTTCCCTGAAAAAAAAAATATTGGCATTCTGTGTACAAGACCTACAGGTAGGAATGCTCTTCAGAATGTTCTTGAACGTGTCTTCCTTCCTCCAAGAGAACACAAATGAGGAAGAGATCACAGCTCCCACGTCAACACCAAAGTGAAGACCTGGGAAAAGTTGAAAAGATATGCCAACTTCCAAAGATGGGACATGATCAGGTTAAGTGAGGTCTTGTGTGTGAAGGGATTTGATTTATCTGGAATAGGGCAGAAGAAAGGAGAGAGAAATGTGTACGTGCAATCAAAAGTTGCTTAGTTTATCTGGATAGATGGCCGAAGATAATTAGGGGGAAAAAATCTAAGAAAACTAGTGAGGAGGAGCTGGCTTTATTACATATTGAGGAAGTCTTCAACAATTAAGACAGTGTGTCACTGACATAGGAGATATGGTCATGCAATACAACAGAACCTCTAAAATAAATTAAATGCATTTAGGAACGGAGCACTATATTTTGGCAACTCTGACATATATACTCTTCCCACATTTTAACATCTTTGAAATCAGAGTCTACCTTACAAATGGATGATGTCATAAATTACTGCTATATTTGATTCAAAGGCCTAAGGTGAAAAGATGAATAAGTTGCTTGTGTCTGGCAAGGACGCAGAGAATGGTGAGCGGAATGTACACTAGTAAAGTCACTATGGAACACTGCACGACAGTTCCTTTATAAACTAGACATAGAGCTGTCATATGATCCAACAATCCCACATCTAGGTGCATATCCCTGAGACATGAAAGGAATCATTGTACCAAAGGCCGGAATACTGTGTTTATAACAACACTATTCACAATAGCCAAGACAAGGAATCAACCAAGTTGTCCAGCATCAGATGAACAGGTAAAGAAAATGCAGCACATACACACAATGGCATATGATTCAGCTGCAAAAAGAATCAAATCCTGTCATTCGTAGCAAAATAGATGGAACTGAAGGGCCTGTTCAGCACAATAAGCCAAAGCAAGGTAACATCTTCCTGTTCCCCCTCACATGTGAAAGCTAAAAAAAACTCACTCAAAACACAGAATAGTGATGCCGGGAGGCTGGGACAGGTAGCAGAGGGAAGAACATCTGGGTACAAGTCACCAATCAGAGCTGGACGGAAGGAAGAAGTTCCCAGAGCTACAGCATGGTGGGGTGACTGTGGTTTACAATAATCTAGTATATATTCTAAGAACAAATGGAAGAAAGGAACTGCAAGTCTCCAGTCATAAAGTAGTGTCAAAGAATGGCAAACATGGATGACTCTGACTGCATATTTCACATCCCAACTTTGTTATATGTACACATTGTGTTATGTATGGAAATGGTACGATATAGTTGATATACACACAATTATTACTAGTTTAAATTTTTATTATTTAATTTTTAAAAAGGATCATAGAAGACAAGTACATTATTCATGTAATGCAAAGAAAGTTGAAACAAGAAAAGGCTACAGAGATGGATGATGGCAAATATTGCACTTAATGTAAGGCTTTATTCTAAAAATGATTAACATGGTAAACTTTACATTATGTATATCTAACCACAACATTTAAAAATACTCTAGTTCAGGAAAATCCATATTTTTTTCTACTTCTTTTCTAAGTCATTTTATTCATTTAAATAAAACAAATATATCTACATTACACAAGGTATAAAATGAATAATAAATATGGTAAAGGTAGCACCTACAGTCAGTAGGCACTGAGTTATCAAAAGTTATTTAATAAATTATGTGTTAAAACTGAGTTACCCGACAGGGCCCAGGTTGTCTGGCCCGAGTCCTCAGCCCACCTGTGCAGTGGGTGCTGGGTCCATGAACCCCAGGGGTGGGTGGAGGACTGGCAGGGTCCAGGTCACCTGGCCTCGGTCACTGAGCCCACCTGTGCAGTGGGTGCTGGGTCCATGAACCCCAGGGGTGGGTGGAGGACTGGCAGGGTCCAGGTCACCTGGCCTCGGTCACTGAGCCCACCTGTGAAGTGGATGCCAGTTCCATGAGCCCCAGGGGGTCAAGGGTCCAGTGGGTCCCAGGTTGTCTGGCCTGGACCATTCAGTCTGCCTGATAGGTGGGTGGTGTATTCGTGAGCCCCAGAGGTGGGGGAGTCCGGGAGGGCCCAGGTCACATGGCCTGGGTCCTTGGGTCCACCTGTGAGAACTGGTCCTCCTCTGTGGAGAGAGGAGCCGCGCCTCAAAAATGGCGCTTGTTGATCTTGCTTCATGGCACAAAGGTGGTAAACAGGTTTCAGAAAGTTACTGAGGATTGGGCCAAGCACGCAGGGAAGCTATGTGACCTAAGTCATGATTGGTGTGCTTACCGCATGAAGTGAGGAGCTGTGTATGGATTGGTTTGTGTAATGTAAAAAGGTCTGGGTAAAAAATAGTTCAATGAGGAGATTCCCCCAGGTGCATGGCTATTGCTTCAAGGCTATGTCGTAGCTGCGATCACTAGGGCTAGGCTGTAGCTGCTTTCACTTTGCTGCAATAAATCTTACAACTATTGTAACTGCTTTTGTTTTGCTGCTACGCTTGAAGTCTTAAGCAATAAACTTTTCAAAAAGTCTTTACCATATTGGGGTCTTGCATGTGGGACGAGGGACCCCGATACTCCTCAATGCAAATGATGGCAGTGGGCCGCAGGCCCTGATGCACATGGAGGATATGGCAGCCCATTGAGGTCTGCAGAGGACATCTGTTACCATAGCAGAGGAAAACAGAACAAATTGGGCAACTACCCCAGCCAAGCAATGACAGCAAATATCTGGGCAAATGGAAACTCTAAGGTTGACTATGTCAGCCAATGTACATTGAAAGGGTTTCCTCAACCACGGATTGGCAAGATCAGCAGCATTTCAGAACCATAGCAACCATCCGGGCAGAACCCTCAGGGCATGCACCACATTGCAACCCTGACTTGATATTGGGTGCTCATTCCCCATCCCTGGGTACTGGAGTGGTTGGGAGGCTGGGTATGGCTGCTCCTATTACTGTCCCCATCCCGCCAGAAACTGGAAGAATAGAAAACTTGCAAACAATGACCACACCCACTTTTCCATAACTCTGGATCCTTCCCACTCTGATCAACTATGGAAAATCATCTAAAAAAAAACAAATCAAAAACAAACAAACAAAAAAATGAATTGCTGGGCCCAGTGCGATAGTTCAATTGGCTAACTTCTTGCTGAGAGTGCTGAGATCCCATACGGGTATCACTTTATGTCCCAGCTGCTCTACTTCCCATCCAGCTCCCTGCTTGTGGCCTGGGAAAGCAGTGGAGGATGGCCCAAAGTCTTGGGCCTCTGCACTCACATGGGAGCCCCAGAAGAAACTCCAGATTTCAGATCAGATCAGCTCTGACCTCTACGGCCATTTGGGGAGTGAACCAGAAAATGGAAGACCCTTCTCTCTATTGCTTCTCTCTGTAAATCTAACTTTCTAATAAAAATAAATAAATCTTTTTTATTGTTTTATGATACAGTTTAATAGATGCTGTGGTCATTCTCCCCCTCCCCAAGTTCCCTCCCCTCACCTCTGTTATCCCCTCCAGTCTTACAATGGGTGTCTTTTGTGGATTTTTATGAGTCTGCCTTGCTGCCACTAAGGTGTCTCCCAACAATGTAGGAGATTATCAGTCATTTCGTTTTGAGTCCACTCTTATAGTGTATGCATGAGGACTTACTTCTCCCTGTTTCCACCTATGAACACATTAGTTTCCACTAAATTTCCATAATGCATCCCCTTGAATAGAGTCCACCACGGGGAGGAAAAAAATAGTGAGCCTTCATCCACATGAAGTTAATGAACATATAACAAACATATCATTGTGAAGCTAGGGTAGTGAAGAGTGTCTAGCATATTCATGTAGGAATAAATGCCAGTGTGTGTCCCAAGGCACTAAGGAAGGTACAATGAGGACTAAATCTTCACTACTTATGGATAGTAGCAATAACAGTGATAAAGGACATTAACAATCTGAGGTGATTACAAGCAAATAGTCTCTTATGGCTGACTGATTAGTGGACTACATCACAAGGTCTTATTACAAAAGGTACAAATAATTAGGAAGTACAATAAGGTAGAATTCACAGGTAAAATCCTTAGGTTTGACATCATATTATTTTATATTAGAGCAAACATATGATTATCTAACCTTAGTGGGAGGAATCACAATCCCAGACCTTCGGACATATTATAGGGTGGTAGTTGTCAAAACAGCCTGGTACTGGCACAGAAACGGAGAGGAAGACCAATGGAGTAGAATAGAAACACCAGAAAGGAACCCACACACACACAACCATCTAATCTTTGACAAGAAAACAGAAAACAACCCAGGGAATGCTGTTGGGACAACTGGTTAATAGGCTGTAGAAATAAGAAGCAAGACCCACACCTTTCACCATACACAAATCTACATGGATAAAAGATCTAAATCTACACCCAGAAACCATCAAACTCTTGAAAGAAAAAGTTGGAAATATTCTGCAAGATGCAGGTAAAGGCACTGACTTCTAAAAAAAACCATCAAATGCAAAGGAAGTCAAGACCAAAATAAACAAGTAGGACTATATTAAGCAAAGAAACTTCTGCACCGCAAAGGAAAAGATCAACAAAGTAAAAAAGCACCCCACAGAATGGGAGATCTTTGCACAGGAGAGAAGGGGCTAATCTCCAGAATATACAAAGAACTCCACAACAACCATAATATCAAAACAAACCAACCAGTGAAGAAATGGGAAAGGGAAATGGGCACATACTTTTCAAAGGAACAAATC